CACACACACACACACACACACACACACACACACACACACACGCCTTGACCTTGATCCCGTCACTCTGCAGATACAGTTTCCCTCAGAGGAACACCACCGAGCTTCTGAAATCCTGCAAGGTGTTTGTGTGTGTTGATGTTTAAGTCGTCTCTGCATCCCTCGCTGCGTTCATCATCAGAGCAGTTTTTACAGCGSCTGAATAAAAATCAATCTCTGTAGGAGAATCAGGATTTATGGAGCGCAAAGAAAGTCGTTTTTCATTTGCCTTTTTTTTCTTTCTGTATTGAGTTTCTTTAAATGTGTCAGTAAACAAATGTAAACGATGGAGGCAGTATTTTTTATTTTTTGGAGTGTGTTTTTCAGCCCACACACGCTTTTAATCTTTTATTTCTAAATCTGTCACTGCTATCTGCTCTGTGTTGAGCAGTCGCGTGCCCTAGATTTGAAAGTGAGCGAGCAGCAGTAAGGTTTCCTTGTTGTTTCGTGTCAAAGCAGGAAGCGGGGAGATGTCAGAAATTTGTGCGAGGTCCGAACTGGGAGAATTCCCAGGAATGTTTTCTGTCTTATCTTCCCCTTCATCGGTGTGTAAACTCATCAGAATTTAAGGGCACTGCTTATTTAAAATGCCCGAGCCTCAGCTCTCCCTGAGGAAGACGCTGCAGGATTAGGAGCTGAGTGCTTCATCACAACTTAAATTAACCCAAGGAAGTCTGTTCTTTGTGTTGGGTGCACTTAGTTGAACGAGCTTGGATTATTTTCATTAGAATATTCCTTATTTTTCCTAAAATACTTTGCTCAATATTTTTACTTTCAGCTAGAGGGGGAACTTTGACAGATTTAGTAGTTAATATGTTATTATTGTTTTGAGCCTCGCTGTGGAACTATTTTAACCTGGATTATTCCGTTTTAAAAGTGATAACCAAAATAATATATCTTAAAACAACAAACTATTAAATTGAAATTAATCAGCTGTGAATTTGATCATTTAAAAATAAATAGAAAACGTTAARGATTAGATTTCCCCCTAAACCCAGCCGGTTGAGGCAGATGGCCTCCTGTTCTGAGCCTGGTTCTGCTGGAGGTTTCTTCCTGTTAAAAGGGAGTTTTTCCTCTCCACTGTCGCCAGTGTGCTGCTCAGGATGG